GGAAAGAGCAATTGAGGGGATCGTTTTATGAACTATATAGATGTCTGTCCAATGTAGTACATGCTTGAAACTAATTAAAATAAATAAATTTTTAAAAAACTAAAAAATTAATTTCAAAGAGAGATACAGCCATGCCACCCTGAACAAGCTCGATCCTGTCTGATCTCAGAAGCAAAGCAGGGTCAGGCCTTGTTAGTACTTGGATGGGAGACCACTTAGGAAGACCAGGTGCTGTAGGTGTAAAAAATAAAAAATAAGGAATTGTAAGCTGACAAAGTCCTTGCAATCTGTGAGGTCAACCAAGGGTTGCCTTGCCTAAAAAATAAATAAAGAAATAATAAAAATTTTTAAATGTTAAAGAAATCTCATAAAAATTAACAAGCAAGCCTACTAAATGTAAAATCAGTGTCACAGACTACAAAGTCACTATTAAAAAATCTATTGTAATTTTATATTATAGTCATAAACAATTGGAAAACAAAACTTTTATAACTTCATATACATTAACAGCAAAAAACCATAAAAATATAAAAATACATTTAACAAAAGACATCAGAGACCTCTACACTGAAAACTATAAATCATGACTGAGAAAATATAAAGGGGTTCTAAATAAAAGTAGAGATGATGTATCTTGTTCATATTTAGAAAAAAACAATATTGCTCAGATGCCAATTCTCTCCAAACTGATCTACAGATTTAACTGTCCAAATAAAAATTTTGACAGTTTTTGTGTAAAAATCTGAAGAATCATTTTTAAAATATATATGGAAATTCAAAGTATCTCTAACTTAACTGCCTACCCAAAACTATAATAAAGAAGACAAAGTCAAAGGACTTGCATTTCAAAGCTGATTTCAAAGCTTACAATATAGCTACAGTTCAAGATAGTATGTTTTGGGAGGCATGACAGAAAAACAGATCAACGGAAGAGAATGAAGAGTCCAAATAGGCCCATAAATGGTCATTGACTTTTGACAAAGGTGTCCGGGCAATTAAATTAAGAAAAGACTGTCTTTCAACAAATGATGCTAGAATATCTGGATAAACTTTAGAGAAATGTGGTTATGAAGGAAAGGAAAGAGAATAAGGGAGCACAAGAGAAAAGGCAAGGAGGAGACTTTGCCTTAAGGTTTACTTAAGACAAGATTAAAAATTTGAAAAGAAGGGAATTAAAGGAGCCCAAATTTCTCAGTAAAATAGGGAGCCAAGTCATTTGCAGAGAGTATACAGGGTAAAAGAAGGATGAGCCTATGTTGACAGAGAGTAAAACTATGTAGAATTCCTGTGGAGAGAGAGATGGAGAATGTTCTTCACAAGTAATTATCATAATCATTATTTTAATTGATTCTACTCTGAATTACTCTGATTAGGCAGTTGTTTTTTTATTTCTTTGTTATTTCAAGGCACTAAACAGCTCAGAGGCTATTGTAAACATGTTTGTCATTCATTTGGTTAACTAAAGAGCAGAAGTGATACAGGACATCACTTGTAAAATTCTTAATCTTTTAGCAGGAAATGAAATGGGACATCTCTTGCAGAGTTCTTAATCCTTCTAGTAAAGCTAATTAAGTTTTCTTTCCTCCTTTCTTTAGGAAAAAGGCCCTATCCCTCAAATCTCGATAATTGCCCCGAAACTGGTGACTCAGATCCTCTGGCTATTGATAAGAGTCATCAGCCCATTGTTAGCAGCAATGGAGATATGCCAGACAGAGCCCTTAAGGTCTGAGAGGAGAGGGGAGTTTAGGCCAAAGGTCTTTTTTCACTCTTTAAGAAATATATTAACCAAACCTGTTTCCCTTTATTC